TCAGATTTGCAGTCGAACGAATCGTTCGGAATATAAATATACATCCAGATGCTGTCAGGTAATTCCACCATACTGTTCTCTTTCTGGAGACTTAATTTTTGTCTTAACCGTTTCATTTTTCAAATATGTCTAGTGCATTCATTGGAGAAATTGGTGTATAATTGATGTTTCCTAATTTGCTGACATAGGGTGGTGATACGGAAAAGTTAGATTTGATGCTTGTGCAACACTTTTTCATCCTTCCTTCAATATCGATTTGCTCGAAGTGGTTGATCGCTAGTACAATTACTCAGCAATGGAATATTTTATTGCATCATCATAAACAAATAAACAATCATCACCGATTGTTTGCTTCAAAATTATTCAATTTTTATTGGAATTGCATTTTTGCGAGAGAATAATAATTGGAAATGATTGTCATCGTGAAGTTTCCCTACTAGAAATGTTGTAGCAAACAACAAAACGGGAGAATTGCACCACGCTTGACAACAGAATGTAGCAAAACATTTAGGCGCATTTGCATGTGATTCGATGTGACATACAAGCGCCTATTTGCTTACGTCCTCTCGAATACTCTTTCAGTGGAAAGTCTCGGTGTCATTTCAGCAATAATTACAAATCAACCTGTCTCGACAGTGTTTCGAGCCTTGCTCATTAATGCTTGTCAACTCTTCAAAGAGAATGAATAGCATTTCGTTTCCAAACTTGCTTTTACTTTCGAAATGTTGACAAAATAACGCAAGAAATTTCTATTTTGCTTTCAACCCAATCTATAATAAATTTAAAATGTTGCTCATTGCATGTGCGGCATCATTCTAGCAGAAAACAATGTTGACGTATAAAACCAGTGGAATTTAACTTTATTTGTAATAAAATGAACTAAACGAATTTAGAATAAATCTTTACAGGTTAGCTTTGATCACTTATTCTGGACAAGCTTACGTTCATTTCAAGTTCAATGATCCACAAATTGGTAACAATACAGCAGTGATAGGACATTTAAATGCGTTGAAATCAATTAAAGGTACCACATCGACTCACATCGCATTACATCAGGCTTACAAACTATTAATGGATACTGATAGTGGAAATGGTGCGGTTTTTTTCTCTTCCTTTCTGAAACATATTTCTCAAATGAGTTGAAACAGTTCCCGGGAAAGTAAATAATGAAAGTACGTGTAAATAATTCCAGGAGCACGTGAAGGAGTCAAAAAGATGATTATCATATTCACGGATGGACATTCGCAACAATCACCACAGGATATGGCATTACGTCTTAAAAATGAAAGCGTAGAAATTTTCGCAATAACGTTGACCCCAGCACCATATGCAGATGAGGGCGAATTACTAAGTATCACGCAGAATACAGATCATATTTTTACGCCCGTTAATTTAAAGGTTTTGATAACAACAATATAAATGTAGATATTCTGATGGATGTAATGCTCTTTACTACCCTGTGAACCAACAAAGTTTTTAGTTCTCAAATAACTTTATTTATGCTTTAAATCCCATACGCAACACGTGAACTAAACGAAATTCAGGTTAACTTACATGAGAACTAACATATTACTTAAAGAATAAAAGAGCATTTAATAATAATACAATATGACGAAACAAGACTGAATGAACATCAATTTTACCTAATGCGCCATGGGATTTTGTACGTCGTTTAAGTATCTCCTCAATAATTGTTCTAAATTTTGTTGTATTTTATATCCTCTTTTATCCGACATTGAAATAAGTTGTAGAACCGTTTACTTTCTACATACACCTTCAAAAATATTGCCTATTTCAGGATTTCGAAACCAAATTTCTCCCGTACATTGGTTTTGGTTGTGTTGGTGTAGATTTAGGACCTGATCCGGAACCAAGGATTCGTGGTGCCACCGATGTCGTCTGTGATGGAAGTTCTGTTACATTCACTGTCCGAACACAATGGCCAATGACAGGCCTTATGTATGCACAGCAATATCACGATGATATAAGATGTGTTAAGGCAAGTTTCATTCCATCTGATTAAATGAATCAACTTTCATGTTGGTCATTCTAAAGATGGATTCCTGATAGGCCAATTTCGTACAGAGAAACTCTGAGATTTCTAAAATACTGTAAACATGCAAAATGACTGCATAATTGCTGATTATCGTACTTTTCTAATACGAGTTTAAGTTTGAATTTCTAAAGTTCAAGAGTGTGAATTGCTTAAAAGAGTTTGCTTATTAATGCCCGTTAAATAATTTATTTTTTTAGGTAACTGATGGATCATCCAGGGAAATCTCGATCACAATTTATGAAGGCACATGTGGTCTTAGTAAAACACCAGCTGCAGTACCTTTCCTTTTTTCTTGTTATCATTGAAAAAAAATTCATAATTAATTTTCCCTCAAATATATTCTTTACTCTTTTTGGGATATTTCTGTCTTTTTTATTTGTAGCGACGCGATGGCTATACGTTCAAAATTACTGTGATATTGCAATTCCATCCAGTTATCATGACAAGAGCCGATCAAGTAATTTGAATTGTTTTAACGAATTTAATTTATTTGAATCCCATGACATGAACTTTTCTAAGAGTTACAAACTCCTTCATTTTGAGGATGATTTGTAAAAATTACAGGGTCTGAGTATATCCTGCTCCTATCAACAATCAGTGCCACGAGAAGAAGTGGGTCGTTCATCAATTAAAAAGCTTAGTGATACTGAATGCTCATATCGACTTCATCGATTTGCGCCTGATCAATGTGTTCCTTTAGATGCTAAAGTTGGTGAATCGTTATTTCATAGATGGGAATGCAACAGTCGTAAGTTCATACTAAGTTCAAATCTTGAAGATTGCTAACACATTTAAAAAGTAGTAGTCTTGATTATGATCATATCATGCAACTACACTGAAAGCCTGCTGTTTTCAGGGAAGATTGGTTAGTATTAATCCACTGCTTTCACAAAATAAATGCATTTGTAGGATTGGTCTAAGATCAAGCGGAAATTTAGCCCCAGTGAGATAAACAATACCAGGGCACTGTATCATATCTGTAGGATTAGAGATGAACTATTAAGGTGGACAGATCTGTTTTCCTGATAACAATCAATTAAGTTGCTTCTAGCTTTTTTCTTTCCATTTTTTTAATTTCAATTTATTTCAGCGTCAAATTACCAGTATTTGGTACATGATTGCTTTGTTAAATCAGAAACGAAAAATGTACTGATCATGGATTCAAACGGGTAAGCATCAATGGTCAATGTCAGTTATCTGTTACACAATACAATTGAAGTACTCCAACTTGTCTGTTTTCAGATGTGAAGTAGACCCATATTTTTTGGAAACTCCTGATTACACGAAATTTTCTGAGAATTGGAAAAATGATGCGTATGTTTTCAAGGAAATGAGCGTATTCAAGTTCCCGGGAGAGGGAAATGTCGTCTTTCAGTGCCAGATATCATTATGCGATATGGAAGGAGATGATGCATGCAAAGCCATGATTGTTAGTTCTCTTTAGGATTTAATAAGATTTTCTTCAAATTCTAAAAAGCAAAACCATAAGTTTCCATTTGGGAGTTACTGAATACGTTTAATCCATAGCAGTCTGTTGCATTGCTTTTCATTTGTTCCACTCAGTATATTTCCTTTGAAGCCTCCACGCTGCCCGCATAATTCGACGTTAAGGCTGAAACGTGAAACGCAAGCTAAGATAAAACCAGGATTTGCAATAACATTTAATGTGGAGACCCGAACGTTGAATGTTTTGGAAAACGAATCTACTCGACCAGCTACTCCTATCAAGTATTGCGATGTCAGAGTGTAAATTGTGTTCCAGTGCAACCTCACTCTATGAATTCTAGCTTTGAGTCCATCAAATAAGCAGTAAAAGCCTTATAAAAAAAGGTTTTTTTGAGTAGCTAAAGAATTCAAGGTCTCAGAAAGGTACTGGTAGTGTTTCCATTCATTTGAATTCTGAAACATTCGAAAGAACTTGCAATTTTGAATAAGAAAAGCTATTTAATATCAAAAATATATTCATTTGTTTTATGACATTCATTCATTGCAGCGGGTATTTCATGTATAAAACAATTTTCTCTCGTGTATTGATTGCATTCGATATCATTTTGATATATGAGTTCTTTTTTCCAAGAATATGGGCAAGTGAATCGTTACGCCACTAAAAAGTAAGAAAGTTTGTGTTACCCAATCGTTCCTTCTCATCAAAACATCGACTTGACATATGTCATGCTTGAATCATTAATTATCTATGTAAAAGGATTGTTACTGTGTTTTGCCTGATTAATGTGCTTTTGCTTAAGTTAATAATGATAGTAAGTATTCGCTTGTTTGTAATCTTGATATATGCAAATATTAGTAGGGATCTCATCATTGTAACGTTTCTTTGAAAAGCCATATATGTTTTGGGAATAAAATTCAGTTTTGTTCAAAATTCTGGAAACTTTGAGTCCTAAAACAATGTTTTCATGTAATAAACTATTTTGAATATACTATTTATCTTGATTAATTTCTTGTATTATTGCTTTCAGATCCATTTCTTTCCACTATTTGCAATGATTTACGCATGAAAATGATGTGCTTTCAGCATAGCACAACACATACATATTTGGTGCAAAAAAAAAACCAATTGATTTATTCCTTTCAAAAGTATAAATGTATTCAAAAGTAATGCACAGGTGGTGTTTTACACTATGAGGATGCTCAAGATAAAATAAAAAGTGCTCAAGGTTGCTACAATCAATTGAAGGAGAAAAAAAAACGAATATTTAATAAGATTGTTTGCAATCAACAAAAAAAAATATTAAAATAACTGCCTTTTATTATTATTCATTGATTCATGATCGACTCGATTCATCGAAAATTCTTTACATTTGGTTGAACCAGCTCAAAATGAGCTTTAAAATGAGCATAAAATGAGCTTTGCGTAACTTTATCATTGGAAACCTTACTAGACGGTTGTGTCTTCTGCATAGACCTTTGTCTATAATGAGGTCATTAAATTGTTATTGCTGAAAACTGTAAAACAATACCAACTACTAGCATTCACGAGATAACTGCAACCTCCACAAAAACTCCAACTTACACTTGAAGCAGAATTTTACATTTATTAATCAGCAAAAAATACAAAAAGTGCTGTTGCTATTTTGATGGAACTTTTTCAGGACAAGTGCAGGACATGATGCTGAGTCATCAAAAGCCATGGGGTATTATACTTTTACCTTTAAAAGTTCCATCAGTGACTCAGCACTTGCAATTTAAAATGGTGTAGGACCTTAATTTATTGGGTACTTTGGTGAAATGAAACCAACAAAACAGTTTTGGAACTTTACTGATAATACTCGGATAATAAGTTATATTCCACAGATTAAACTATCAGTAGTCGGTCCAATCATTTGGTCAATATTTTAGAACTCTATGCACATCTTGTCCATGTTTCCATTCTCCACTGCATTCTGACAAGGTGACGAAGATAAATCATTGGATATTTTGGTATTTAAATGTACTGAAAAAAGTTCGGATCAAAGAATGATAACGAAAATGATCTAAATTGTTAAGGCACTTTCTTAAAAACATATGGATGTTAGCAAACTCTTAGTAGGACAATCATCAAAATAAGTGATGGAAAATCTTGTAGCACTGAAGATGCAGCAGATTCAAAAGGAAGAGTGTTACCGCGACAAATGATTCGTATCCAAAGGACTGAACCAGAAGAAAACGTTGTGCGCACTGAGTTGCGGTTCGTTATTTACCAGTCGAGAAAGGATTTGGAGGAGAAAGCTCTTTACGAGGCAAGACGATTCAACAAAATCACAACTATATGGTTCAAAGTGTGCCAGTAGCGATTTGAAATAACTATAACGAAACTTAAAAATTTAATCCTTATTTGGAACAAAAGGATTTATTAAACTTTTGAAAATTTTTGCCAATTAAATATAATATTTGATGTTAAAAACTAAACGATTCAACCAAACAAAAAACCAAAACTGCCCAAAAAAATTCAATGTATTGTTTCAGGAAAATATAGTCAATGAGGCAGTGCACTGTCTAATGAAAAAATATGCGGAAATGAATTTGGGACAAGTGTTACTACCAGGTGTTCAAAAAGTCGATGCTAAAAAATTTGCAAAGGTTTTCGATATAAGTACATTAAGAACTCCTCCTAGCTGTTCTCAGATAATACAAATTGCACAAATGCACAGAAAGACAAGCAACTACACTAGTTTAGATAATGATGATAATTCTGTTTCATATCCATTCGGCTTTACTATTAATCATATGTTGTTTCTGTAAATGATCCAAAAGATTATCTCCTGCAGGCATTACCAAAAGAGGATATATCCAAGTCACTTTCTTCAAAATACATCACTGATAAGGAATGGATAGGAGAAGCTCAAAAACGACTAGAGGTCTGTCTCATATACGATAATCATACCAACAGATCCCTTATCGTTTTCACTGAAAGATAAAATCAACGAATAATTTCTAAACGATAAGATTTCCAGAATTATCTGCTCCATCATTTAAGCTTACATAAGGTTGCAACGTATGAAAACGACTGTTTTTTACTTTAATATGCAACTTGATGAAATATTTTATGAAGAGAGTTAAGCCTTGCTTTTGATATAAGCACACTTCCGGATTATTTGAACGCATTTCAGTTGGTGGCAAAACGAGTGCAGACAATTGAGAAGAGCGCAACCTTAATTGGTCCTGAATTCGCAGCTTTCCAGACACAACTCGCATCACTGCTGGCCGATCTAGAGGAACGGCAAAGAGCAGGTGGCAGTCCTAACACTGCTCTCCATAATGATCAAGTTATTCGCAAAAGACTTGAGCAACTGCAACAATTCGCTGCAACAACTGCTCGTGTGAGGAGTCGTAAAAATTATTCAGAGAATTTGTCAATTAGTGTGAAATGGGAAGAAACTATCCAATCCACATGCACCAAATGCAATTTGAGGATTTTTAAAGTTTAAAGTCTGGGGATTTTAAATTATAAAATATAAAATTCTCAGACTCGCCAATAATGATGAAGTTTGACGGAAACAGACTGCTTTTACTTGCAATAGACGAGGTGTAATGCAGAGGTCAATATGTTACATTTTCTGGAAAGAAACTTCTCTGAAAAGCTGTTTTGCTCTCAGTAATGATCTTTTTTACTTCTCTACAATATAGAGCGTGTGTCGTACAGGAAGCATGTCGTTTGAATAATCCGAGCATATTGCAGGCATATATGGACTATGCTGTGCAGCAGTGAGATTTCGGAACGAACTAATCAGAAGTCTATGGGTAGATATGATCAGATTTGTTGCAGGAATAAAATATTCTGAACAAAATGATTCACCGCAGAAATTTTTAGAAAACTATATGAAGGAGGAAACAAGAAAGATGTAATCTGTAAATGTAGTCTTTAGCAGAGAGTATCTTGTAAATTTCCAAAGAATATGTTCATTAAGGGAAGCAGAACTCTACCTCATGTCCTTCTCTTTCACATTTCATAACAAAAACGCCAACAAAGAGAAACTATAAATTCAAACTATAAAAGTGTTGTCAAAGTCCTATGTTGTCAAAGTTCATACGTCACTTCATTATCATCCCATTATTTTCAAATTATCCATCCCTGCTTCTCACGGTTCTATAAATCTCTATGTCCTTCTCTCAGCTCATATATCTTTACTTTTACATACTTAACAAAACTACTTACATTATGCCCCAGCATAACAAATCCACTCTTGACTATCTTTGTACCTTCCCACCAACAAATCTGCACTTCATCCTTGTCTGAATACTATTTCATAACGGTTGCATGCTACGGAATCGTGAAATGAAATACGTTGCCAACCTTTTATTTTGGTCTAGGAATTATAAGTTGTGCAAAGTGGATTGTTAGTGGAGAGGCTAGTAAAGGTTGGAGTTAGACTGTTCACTTTATCTTATTTCTGTTAGCGATGATGAAGAAAACATAAGATTGAATGTTCATGAATTTTCTCCTTGCAGCACTCCTTTCTTCTCTGATATATAATAGTTCCGAAGTATGAAATTGCATCTCGAATTTGATGATCAAATTTTCAAATAATATTATCAAGCTGTGTTTCAATTCCATTTTTATTTCATTTGTTCATTATGATATTATTTGCAGGTTTCAGAAGTAGTGAAGAGACACTAATTACTTAGTCATACTTATGACTGAATTGGAGCCAGTTAGAACCAAACAGAAGAGTTCTCGAAAAATTCGGAGGAAGGTATGATTTAAAACATGGTTTGAAGTTGACAAATTCTTTCGTGCCTTAAAGTTTGAATAGAAAAGAACTTGTCAAATGCTTTTGATGAGTTAGGTACCGTATTAAATTAATAATTCATTCTCGAAATTATGGAATTACTGCTGCAATACGGCACATACATTTTACAGTCATTTGTATTCTTAACTTAGTGAACTGTTGATTTGATAGTCCTTTCAATTTCATTTTATTTTTATTCGCATTACAAATTATTGTCGTGAAATAACAGTAATTCCTTTCATGCTGAATTCCCGCTACTGCTGATCGTATTTTCACTTACTGTAGAAAAAAACTTTAGAAGAAACGTTCAGAATCAACAACATCAGAAGAGGAGTGGTTCAGCAGCGATGAAAGTATCCATGAAGGTAATATTGCTGACGACCAGGAGGAACAAAAGTTTGCCAGTGGACCTTGGACGTATGATCTCGATGTGGTGCTCGTAAAGAAAGAATTTGAAATCAAAGATATTTGTCGAGAAATGAATGCTTCCGGTATATTACTTTGTTCATGATTATCATGAATCACTGGTGATTGTGTAAGCATGCTAAGACATAGTAATTTTAAATAGCTCTAGAGTTATCTATTGGGTCTGATAAACTTCTTGTTCGAGGTTATTTTCGTGTACAGGGGAAACTTTTTTTTAATATCACTGATCCATTGCTTGCTATTATTGTTTTTAATTAACCATTTTGTTATTTGTTGTTTTTCTAGTTTATTACAAAGAACAGTTCTTTTTAAAGTCTTTCAGACTTCACAATTGAATATGTGCAAGAAAATGGTTTGGAAAAGCCTCTCCTGTTCAGAGATTCATTGAGCTCACTCGGAATGAAGTATGTTTTAGGAAAGTATGATGACTTTTTGATTATTTTCTGCAAGTCATAACCGTTTCATTTTTCTTAAATTATGTTTCCCTCTAATTAGATTTGGAAGAGCAAAAGTTGAATTTTATGAAGAATTTCCCTTATATTAAGAATTTATTTGTTGCAAAAAAAAATTTGTTGTGTCTTGTGATATAAGTGTTTTATTGTACACAATGATAATGTTAAATTGGTGTATGAATTGTTAGGATGCCAAAGGATGGGACGCTCACTGCACGATGTGTGCTGAAAGCAGTTGGTGATCGCCTGGTTGAAGTGGTTGATGTGATGACACAAGGTAGTCGGCAAATGATGCTCAGTGATTTTGTTGATTATTACGAGTGAGTCCTGAGAATTGTCGAATTTGTGGTTTTTGCATGTAGCACCAGTTTATTTTGCTGATAAAATAACTGTATCTAAATTTACGTTTAGAAATGCTTTGCAACAGTTCATTTTTACAGGTCCCCACCAGCAGAACGAAAAGATCTGCTTAACTTACTTTCACTTGAATTTTCTCTCACATCGCTTACGAAAAGAGTACGAGGACCAACGTTAGCTCTAGAAATCGACTGGGTTGAACTATATTGGCCAAAAGATTTGCGAAACTCCCCATCTACTTTTCCTAAAGTACAGAAGTATGTTTTAATGTGTATGAACATTTTAATTCTATATACATATTTATTTATTTACATGCTTGTCGCAAATATTTCTTCAATTTTCTTGTGACTTTCATTCTTCTTTCAGTTACTGTTTAATGAGTGTTAAAAGATCTTTCACTGACTTTCATATTGATTTTGGTGGCACGTCAGTTTGGTACCACGTTTACAAAGGAAGAAAGGTATGTACATCGAATTGTTAGGATTTTTATAGTTTTAATAACCTTTTGTTGATGTTTTGTATTCTAGACTTTCTGGGTTATTGAACCTACAGAAGAGAATATACTGAAGTACGAAAGGTGGATATTGGAAGGGTCGCAACATGAAACATTTTTCGCCGATCTTGTTGATAAATGTGCAAGAATCGAATTATATGAGGGTTATACCTTTATTATTCCATCAGGTAAATACCTTTTTGTTCTACACTATAAAAGAGTCTACAAAATTTAAGGCAGATATTATTACACTAATCATACGTTATTTTATTTCAGGCTGGATTCATGCTGTATATACTCCAGAAGACAGCTTGGTTTTTGGTGGGAATTTTCTTCATAGCTTTTCTGTTCCAATGCAGTTACGAATCATGCGTTCTGAAAACATTCTTATGGTATGTAAATTGAATTAGTAGGTTGATTCAACATTCTGTTTGCTGCTGTTGTAATTGCTTGCTTTCAGATTAAAGAAAAGTACCGTTATCCAAATTACATGGAAATGGTATGGTATGTGATAGAAAATATTATTAAGAAAGCAACCAGTCGCATCTACAAAACTAATAAAACGGGCAAAGTGATTTATCGAAGTTTTTCTTGAGTAGTGTTGTTCTTCTCAATATCTAGGATTGTTCATTTTATGTAAAAGTTTTAAATTTTCATGAAATTTTACATAGGTGAAATGTTTTTATTGTGCCGTTTTTATCAAGGACTCCATGGATAGTATAAAAAGAAATGCAGAACTACATATAGTTATTTCATCCAGTGAATAATTTGATTTAACTTAACTGTTTCAGAATGTATCGGGTAACAACGATCAGAGTGTCGATAGCAATGCTTTAAAAGAAGAAACTGGTGCCAATATTGATGGCATCATGATTCATGTGGATAGTATAGTGGAAAATGCTACAGATAATGGTTTATGTTGATTTCAAATATTTAACTTTACAACTAAAATTCCCTCTTTTTTATAGGATGAATTTTTTTGCTCTACCACGGCTATTTCTACGTATTTTTAAATTCATTTGTTCCACTTTCTTTATTTTCCTGGTTGGTTGTCACAACTAAGATTATTGCAGACATAAAAAAAGAAGCAGATGGTGTTGTAACATATGAAGGAAATACATCAGCAGAAGTAAAGGGGAGTACGGTGGAATCAGCTGCACTGCAGGTAGTTTTTTCTTAAATTTTTCTTTCATTTTGCTTTTTCATTCCCTTTGTTTTACTTCCCAGTTCAACAAAACGCTTGCAAGTTCAGCACATTTGTTGGCCTGTTTCTGCCTTAGCATATAGGGTTTAGTTTATCGGGCATTTTTTCTACGGTAAAAACTGAACAAAGTGCAATAGTTGGTGAGCAAAAAGTGAAAATTCATGTTCTGGAAAGGTAAATGTATAAAAATATTGCTATTTTTATTGATGCTTGAATTTTAATTGCGCAAATTCTGTAGCCAGTGAAAATCCGTATGTTTTGGTGAGTGTACGGAGGGGTGGGAGTGAGCGAAATGACAAATGAGCGCTAATTGGAATCTAAATTTTAATTGGAATCTTGCCAACAGGTTAAATCGTCATATAAATCGAGAGAGAACAGTTTGACGTATAATGATGGTCAGTTTTGTTTTTCTTTTATTTGTTTCCTTTGAAAACCCAATTTTAAAAAACATGCAGTAAGTCATTAAAATTGAAAGTTGCCAGTTCAATGATTTTAAAGCTAACTGTCATGCCTTTTGGTCCAAAAATTCTAGACTTATTTGATTACATTCAAGTTTTACTTTTTTTGAAATTCGTAACAAAAATTTCAAGCTAGGAAGGATTGCTTTTCGACTGAAACAGATGAAAATGTTCGGCACCGTTCGTGTTTCAGAATATCTTTCAACAATCAGCAAAAAGGAACGCGAAGGGTTCAAATCGTTGCTGGTTTATATGCGGGAGATTGTTGTGGATCATAAAGATTCGGCAGATCAGAAGAAGAATGATGTGTTGGATGTTTTTGAAGTAAGTTTATTTGATTTATAGGTTTTACTTTACTTTCATCGTGGTAATTGAATAACATGTCACTGTTATGTTGCTATGGCATTATTTTTTCTAGCACATTCAAGTTTTTGATTCGATCATCTTCAACTTATGCTTTACGCAAAAACTATATTAATCATAAGTTTATTAAAACCATGAACTTATGCTATTTTGTAGCAAGTACTAAATCATGAAGTTCCCGAACATTTTGTAATCGGAAAAGAAAAAAGGACGAATGAACAGCAAATACCTAAGGTATGAACCTCGAGCTTAAAAAAATTCCTTTTTTTGAAATTCAATTCAGTTTAAGAAACTATTATCATGTTTTAAATTTTCATGCATGTATTATGTTCTCTGATGTATTATGTTCTCCAGTTGAATCAGTGGTTGAAAGCTTTTGGGAAAAATAAATCGCCTACAGCCAAGCGAAAAGTACCTCCCAAGGAAAAAGGTTTGCTTTTAGATTTCTTACTCATTTGATTTCGCATTATTCGCAAAATATGTCGGTTTTCCAGTCGTCGAAATGCAACAGTTTGCGAGACCTAAGCCACCGAAGTCAAAAGTCAAAAGCAGCAAGAAGCCGGATTATCATAAACCTGATGGACCATTAATTGTGGGTGGCATTCCACCAGCTATCATGCCAGCTGATGCACCTCAAGCGCCTAACCCGTATGGCTACGATCCTTTGGCTTCTGTTACTCCTCTGGGACACAAACAATTACCTTCTGCTTATAGGCGCACACCCGATGTAAGCGCTTATGATCTGTGTAATCCACGATTTTAATTGATCAATTTCATTATTTGTGGATGCATGACATTCAAGTAAAATTATATACAATATGCATATTTTAGATGGCAAAGGCACCACCGAGCCAGAAATTCCGTCTTCAGCCTCAGCTGTACAAAGTTGTCGTAGCTACATCTGAAAAAATGGAAGCAGTACCTGAAAAAAATCCAGACAAGTCCTGGTCGACAACTGTTATACCAACACCTGGACCTTCAAATGATAATAAATCGGCAGAATATGAAAGCAAAACTGTAACTATTGCACAGGCGGACACTGAAAAGAGCTTTCATCATAATGGTCACTTTTGACATATGTGGACTGATATTGCTTGAGCTCTTATTAAGGCTTAGTAAGTATGATGATTAAGTAAAGGATCAAAGTCTTCTGGCTGCATAGGAAAGCCGTTTTTTTTTTATAACAATTCATACAAACTTTCATTGATTATAGAATTAGCACGATCTTATCGCGATCGAAACAAAGATAGTCAGCGTGAAAATCGTCATACTGTAAAGGAAGAATATCCAGAGCTGCAATATCGATCACCTCTGGTACGACCTGGTCCAAGCAATAGGAGAACGAGTGTGTTCGTATTTTAATCATCCATTCGAATTAAAAAATACTGAAAGTAGTGATATGTCATAAAGAGTGCAAACTGTCGCCAGTTTTTTCCTACAAGTCGTCAAATGAGAACTTGTACTCTACTTTCACACATTTTCAGTAGTTCAAAGTTACTTATGATTTTGGAAAGTTTCAGTGCTTCGAAAATTGGTGATAATTTATACCGTTATTCGGGCAAAGCTTTCAAACGGCGATATACTGATTCATCTTCGACTATTGATTGCTGGTAGAATTTTTCATTAATGACAATGTTTTAAAAATTTCCGAGAATAGGGTTTAGACTTGAGGGATTAAAAAATTGTTTCTAGTGGCTCTTCATATTCCATTGATTTATAATATACGTTCTCTCATTTTCATCATTTGAAAATGTTAAAAAACTTCGAATGGGGCACGTGTTAGCTGGTTTAAAAAATTGATTTTGCAAAGTTCTAGGTCAAGTGGGAGCAGAGGTACGAGACGTGCAAGTGACTGTAATTCAAAGAAAAATGAATACTTTACTTCTTGGCGTTCAGAAACGCATCGTAAATCTAATTCTGCAGATATGTCTGGCATTTTCTCACAATCGTTTGTTCGATCTTGGCCTGAGAAAGTGCCAGCTGTCATTCGACATAATTATTTAGTACCTGGTGATCCTCGTCTTCCATCTACGGAAGGTTTTAGTTTATCACCGCTGTTGATTGCCTTATTTTATTAAGTCAGCTTTGAATACTGTTTTCTTTGGTCATATTGTGTTAAATTCCAGCTGATCTGGATTCTGTTGCAGCCTTTCAGTAAAGTTCTTAATGCAATTTCAGGATTATCAAAATGGTCACCTGCTACTAAACTTGCATCAACTAAAGACCATGAAAAATGCAAAGACTTTCCGATTATCCAGCCGAAACGAATTATTGAGGATGTCCAAGTAAAAGTTGATAAAGTCATGTCGCATTTTTTACGAACTTGTTTGGATAGGGAATTATAAAAGATTTCATTTTCTTTCTTAATGAAGTTCTTGTTCAACTAATAATTTGGCATTTAGAAACGGAGTTCGAATATCAGAATGAATGTTTCGCCTCCAGGTTGTCAGAAAACATCGTCTGCAGTGGGTCTTGTTGGAAACTCGCAATATGTTCCTCTGCTGAATCGTGAACGAAATCCTACTCTAGCACCACTTTGTGATTTTAAAGTCTCGATGGTTATTTTTATACCTTTCATATTTATTACCGATAAGATTTCAAGTATTTTGACTTCAGCGAGACTGAGTAGTCTTTCAAATTATTTTAGCAGTATGCGCCAAAAAGTGAACATGGTACGGTTGCAGTGGCATCATCGCTTCCTTTACCCAACAAATGTTCAGTTTCGCTCTCAGGCATGATTTCTGTTCTTGATTAATCTCTTAATAACCTCAACTCATCTTTAGTCACTTCAACTGTAACCTTTTCAGAATCCCATGGGAATACAGTAGCTGAACCTGTAAAGTCTGCAGAGGGAATTAAAAAACCTGAAATCCGAGATTTGTCAGTTACATTGAATGAGGACAAGGAAGATGTAAGAACTTATTTTGATCTTTTTTCTTTTTTTCTTTTTTGTTGTATATGTTGTTTCATTTTCATGAAAGATGAAGCCTTTGTAGGGTGCAGAAATTATGACAGCAGCTGAAGAACTGGCAGAATTGACTAAAGTTTTTGATGTCGATGAACGACATTCCGAGAAGGATAGGACTGGGCCCCTTATGGTTTGTTCAAAAAGTTATTTTGATTTTCACTTCTTTATCCGTAACAGTTCTTTTCAGTGTTCAAATCATTAAGTTTTACAAAATGGTTCTGACAGAGAATTTCGCAAACCTGTTATTGAAGGACGTGACATACATGCGAGAAATCAGATGTGAATATTTTTAAGGCTACAGTTGAACAGAGAAAGTTGAAGCGACAAAACTGGAGTAACTCAAAAAAGACTGATGACATTGAGAAACATAATTTATCTCCTCCTGAAAATTTAGAAGCTGATTCAATTTCTCCACCGCCGAAATTATCAAGTAAGTATCTGTTTTTATAAAAAAATGTTCGGATTTAGCAAGATGCCGTATTTTTGGTTTTAAGATTTATTTCTGGTTTTAAGGAAGTTGCTTTATACTTCCACTTTTGAATGGTTGTCGAAAATTCTCTCTTTTAGGCACAATAGTTTTTTTTTATGCTTCACCTTTTTCACTGAAGACGTAGCTATAATTTGAATGCATAGTCAAGATCACTGTATTTATTGATTTCAGAAATTCCAACTGAAACTGTTTTACAAAATTTAAGTTCACTCACTGCGGAATTTAATGCTGTTGTGGATTGAAAACGAACAATTGTCGATGTTTTATTTGGCACATTTATTTCTATTTAACTGTCGAACTAAGACAAGTGTACAAGTATTGTTCCATTATTCGAATTTCATTTATTTAATATTGTTTTCGTTACTAAAAGTATTTTTGATATTAAGCATTGAACCATTAATATGGGATGTCGAAATGTTTCGTGTTAAGCAGTTTTAGGTAAATTCTAAGATTAGAGAAATCGTACTATTTTCAGCTGTATCGAAGTTTTTTCTTTGTAAATATAATAAAGATCAAGTGTTATTCTGTAAGGGGTTTTTTGTAATGCGTTTATTTTTGTTTTCGTGCATTTGTTATTGCTGAGTATTTTTTATTGTCGATCGATCAACTAACGAATTGTGCGTGATTTTAGTGTGAACGAATAAGTAAATTCATTGGGCTGTTTATCATGGTTTTGATATTTCCAGCGTAGTGTAGTTTAATTTCTTTGTAATGATTTTCGAAATATTTCTTGTATCTAGTGAAATTATTTACTGTCATCTAGCATTGCAGTGATTTTTAACAATAATGGTGAAGTTGCTATTTCTAGTATATGGTATATAATTAATAATATATATTAGCTAGGGATGCTTAAATGGGAAATTATATCGTTAGTGTTCCATTTTACTATGAATCTGCGAACTGTAGAAACGGCTGAGACATCATATATATATATGTGTTCGGTATTATATGATAAATTTACTATGATCATAAAAACTTCAAGTTGAATGTATTCTGGTTCTGCATATTTTCTAGAAGTTGCGAGTGCTGATATTTCAGTGATGAGTGAAATTCTGAGGCTTTCCCAGTTATTGATAGCAAAGAACGTTTCAAACGGTGGAAGGCAGAGCCTTTTTATAAAGAGAATGTGGTATTTCGATATGTTCGATACGTAGCATACTTTTTGGAAGGATCGATGTTTTTCGGTTCAGTATAAGAATTATTCTTAGCTAATTTAATATGGGAAGTGTTTTCAAAAGCCCGGGGTTTCATAACTTAGGTGATTTTGCTGAAATATGAGGACAAGATGGCAAACGAATACCAAGTGTTATGGGATAGGATTTATGAAAAATTTATTGCGTCCGGTTTTTGATATTGCTCTTTGTGCAACTTTATGCCGTAGGTAAATTGTGAATCAAATGGTACTTCGTGGGAAAAATGCGACATTGGTAGTTATTGGAGATATTGGCCGAAGTCCAAGAATTTGTTATCACGCCAGGTCACTGGCGGATAAAAATTATCGAGTGCAAATAGTGGGCTATAAAGATTCGGCGATACATCAATCCATACAGCAGCATCCGTATATTAGGTATTTTGATGTTTATATTTCTGCTCTGGTATTAATGATTTATAATCGAAATGCAGGTATTCAGATGTAGCATTGTGCCTTTCGATATCAATAGGTAAAATAGTTTTGATGTCGATTATAACGATATTTCCCCAATAAGCATCACTGTTGAACATCGCTGTTGGGTTACGTGCTTTAGTGTCTTGAATTGTTTAGGATCCATTAGTTTTCCTGTACTTCAACTATTGTGTTTTACAGTGTAGTATCACTAAGATCTCCACCAGAATATATCTGTAAATTACGGCCGGTCTTTGCTTTGGTACTGAAATTTTTGTGGACTTTGATTGTTCTCCTGTTAGCGCTATTCTTCCGAATTGAATGGCCTCTCTTGATTATGGTACAGAATCCTCCTGGATTACCATCTCTTCTTGCTTGCTGGCTGGTTGTTTCTTTTACTTTTAAAATATTTGTCTCTTTTTAGAAATCCAATTAAACTTGTGCAAAATATTAACAAGAAGTGACGTGTATAATGTGTTATCCTTTTTTATGTATTTCATATAAAATTGCTTTTGGAGATGTTTTCTAACGTATAGAATTTCAGTGCGCTCGTATCAGAAGGGCACAGTTTATCATTGATTGGCATAACTATACCTATTCAGTATTACGCAAAAAGTATAATATCGATGAAATACGCGTTGATCGTGCTTCTGATCGACGAATGCAGAATTCTTTAAATTGTTCCGACGATCATGGCTTGGGTACTGTTGTTTTTGATGGTGATATATTGGGATTGAATCTATAGTTGCTTATTGGAAGCTTTGGACAATATCGTAAAGATTTTATATGTATTTCAGCGGCAAATGATTTTTCCGGTATGCGTGGAAAAAGAATGACACGAGTAGAACGAGCTGTTCAGGCTGCAGCAGCTACAGCAAACAAGAGAAAACGCCAATCTGATCGAAAGAAACGATATTCAGTCATGCAGAGGTCAGCTTTCAGCGGAAAAAGTAAACTTCGATTCATAGTTTGCTACTGATAGATTTTCCCTTCTCTTTTTTTGAAGATTGCTTTCAGATATGTTGAGTATATATATTATTGGGAAGGTTACTTTGGTCGTCGCGCTGATTTGAACATTTGTGTAACTCATGCTATGCGGCAAGATATGTTCGATGCATGGGAGATTAGTGCAGCTACGGTATATGATCGGCCTCCAGACTGGAGCTTTCGAAAGTTGACTGATGAAGAGCGACATAAATTTCTTTTAAAATTAATTGATTACGGTGGAGAATTCGAAATTTTTAAAGCGATTAATAATTCAGGCTCTCAGAGAGATTGCGTTTTCGTGGAAGGTTACTTTTTATTATATATTTGATTTATGCAATAGCGAATTATGCAACAGCAAAAAACGAACTTCCTGTTCTTTCCTTCCAGAAACGTTAATTTCTTATCGTGACAATGGTGGCAAAGTCCACCTTCGAAATGACCGTCCTTTACTTCTTGTTTCATCTACAAGTTGGACAGAAGATGAAGATTTTGGAATCCTACTTGATGCGCTTCGTGAATTTGATAATATTGCTAAACTTTCTTCAAAAACGTATGTTTCTTTAAATTCATTTTTCTGAATATTCTTTTTTCGGAATTATCTTTTTGGAATATCTCATTAGGAATCCGACAATTCGGCTACCATTTATAATATGTATAATTACTGGACGCGGACCTTTACGATCATATTATTTGGGTCGCATTGAGCACATGCAAATGCAAAATGTTGAAGTATTAACATCATGGTTAGAAGCAGAAGATTATCCACTTTTGCTTGGTTGTGCTGATATCGGAGTCTCTTTGCATACTTCTACATCAGGTAATAAGTTTATTTGATCTTATAGCTTCAGTAGTTTATGCATTTTTAGGAATGACGATAGCTGTAAAATTGTTAGTAGTGCGGTTTGCAAAATCACTTGAATATATCTCAAACATTTATCTCATTAAAAAAGATCTATTGGTTTAAACTTTTATTATTGAAGTCCTATGTTGTAAGATTCATGTTTTCACAATTAAGGTCTGGATCTACCAATGAAGGTAGTCGATATGCTTGGATGTGGTTTGCCTGTCATTGCCAAACGGTTTGGTTGTATCGGTGAACTTGTTTCAGACGGCCATAATGGGCGACTATTCGATACTTCGCATGAACTTTCACATATCATTAAGTCCTTGACATGTGGTTTCCCTCTTTATTGCAGTGTCAGTTTTTATTCACACTAAAATACTAAAAATACTATGTCCTGTTTGCTTACATCTTTATAGCTCATAATTTCAGCTTAATTAAAAGTATAACTACATATTTTACAGCAGTTGAATACACTGATATCAAATGTTCATTCTGATCCTTTAATATCGTGGAACAAAAATTGGGATGCATGCATGTGGCCATTGGTGCGTAGTTATGGAGCTCTGTCAGTTGAGGATCTGGCACGACGTCAAAGGTATTGAGTCTTTAACTGTTCGTTGACTGTATGGAAATCGACCAATTGATTCAACTACTAATCTCAAATGTCTGGAAAATATCATGCAAATATATAATTGGAAATTACTTTCCTTTCATTTTTATGAAGGAATTTTCGCTGTCATGTTTTGCTTGCATAATAATTGTCGTTAAGGTTCGCGGTGATCTCACTTCAAAATCGACCAGAAACTGCTGAACTGCGTGACATATTTGAGATGAAGCAACAGGATAATAATGAACATGAAAGTGCAAGGTTTAAAGATATTGCAGATGACTGTGGTAATAATTGTTGATGAGGGGCGATTTCAATTAATGAAAAACCCTGGAAAATCCAGTTTGATATTTTCGTTGCAATTCAAGATAACATTTTGGATTGAAAAAATTAGTTTTTGCAGGTTTTATGGATTTCATAATTGAAAGAATTCGGTTCATTTTGGAATTCTTATACACAAAAGATTGAAAGATTTAGTCCTTGTGGTTGAGAATTTATGATTGTTGCCTGAAGTTTACGTAGTCATTTTTCCTATTTTTTTTTCATATTTGATGAAATCGCTTGATTCTTTGCTTCTTGTTTTGCGGCTATCTATATGAAAACTAAAAGCAGCGTATTTTCAAAAATGTATATCTAAAAGTAAGGTTACCTACCTCATCACAAAGAAATTTTCCTTTGATCATTCTTGGAGACCAATAACTTTGCTCATTGCACTTACTGCATAACCACGAGAAACTGTTAATAAATATCTTAAAAATTAAAAAAAAAGGATAGAGTTGGTCATATACTATCACAGTGTTTCATTTTATTAGAATTTACGAGCTTTCCTGTATCACTTTTGTATACGATTTATTTGCACATTCCATACTGTTATATTTTCAGTAGTATTATGATGTGATAAACGAATAATTGAGTCCATCAAACCTTAAACTTCAGAGTAGTTTTGTTATTGGATTCTTTCATAATTACAAATTTCATAATCACTGCGATTTTAGGCGAATGTGAACTGAGTGCTTTATATGGATTTTCAGAACAAGATGCTCATTATTTACTGTTTAGTTTCTGTCGTCCGGCGGCTCGAAGCAGTTATTGAGTGGGACATTTTCCGAACTATGTATTGAGTTGGTCGTTAAAATGATGTGTTCCTGATGCAACTAAGTGAAACCCTCTAGAACAATCTGTTTCGCGACTGAGTTGCACAGTACTTTCGCAGCAGTGAGAAAAAATTCGTTTTTCCAGCTAGGCAGCTAGATAAAATTAGGACAGCATTTGCTGTTCCAAAAAAAATCTTTAAAATGTGGTTCGCACATCTGTTATTTTTGCCATTCCTTAGTTTTAGATAGATAATGCAAATTTCTGGAATAGGAAGAGGTATTCTAACCACGCTTTATTTTCTCACAGATTAATTGCTCTCTTGTCGAAGTGTGGGTTTATGAAGTTCATAATTACAAATGATGCATCCAGGCATTGCATTATTTTATAGCAAAAATGCTGCCATTGGTGACGATTGCGTGCATCTTCCCAACAATTCCTATCTTCATTTTCGCATTACTAGTCGTTGGCTGTTGTAAGTTCCTCTGATAGACTCAAATACTTCAGACATATTTTAAATGATTAAATAATCCCGAACAGTACATTTTCCAACCATTTTAGAAAAATATCTTTGACAAATGACAATTGTACAGTTCTTTTAAAAACTTGAAGTAAATGCAGTGACTTATCCGGAGTACAATAAAGTGTTCAAACCAATGTAACGTTATGCGGCAGACAGCCTGTAGTGCTAATTTAATAAAATATACGAACTTGTACTGACATAATGCTCTCTTTTGCTAACGTTATACATCGTCCCCAAATCATGGTAATATTTATTTAATAATATGACTATATAATTGAGTCACTCTTTTACTAGCAACGGATGAATGTTATGAATAGTCGAGTGGCAAGTGAAAGGAAGGATAAGACTATACAGAAGTTGGCCAGCCAGATAATATATTAAGAGAGGAGACCCTAGATTTATGTGGTGACATGGAGGGCAGTGCACTGAAGATTGAGCATTCTGACCCTCTAAACCATCCTGACTTTCTTCAAAAACATCACTAAATTTAAGAAAGAGTGATATCACTTTCCAAGTACATGTGCAAATTTTTCAGCTTCCAAAAAGACGGGACCTGAAGGTGGAGAAAAAAAGGATGGACGAGCAGATCAGGGACAACCAATACCAATACCAAGGTCAACACCTGCAGCAATATTTCCTCCTCAGCCTGCTGCACCTGCAGAAAAGGTTTTTTTTAAGTACTCTTCAGTGAGTATAACAATGAATGCATTGCATCAATTGTTAGCATAACCATAGCATATACGATACAATACTGAACTGATTTTTTGTTTTTCAGAAACCAAACGAAAAAGAAATAAACAAAGAGGTCCGTCCCTTTTCAGTTCTCATCATTTTCCTCTTTAATCGCCTGTCACAAATGATAACACATCCAAAATGGGTCACATGAATTGAGGTGACATGTAAATGTTTCAATGCGAGAAACTGGATGCGAAAAAAATTAAGAATGTGAACTTGGAAAATGTTCTACCATTGTACAGATCAAGAAATTTGAAGTACGAGCATGAATGATGTCAAAATATGAATTTCCCAACTCAATTTAACAAACCGATTGAAGAGCACTAGCAATAATTCTTCGAGATTGCAGAGTGCACCGAAAAAAGAGACTAACACTGTTGGTGCCGCAGTTGGAGGTGGCGAAAAGGAGGAGGAAGATGGAGGTTACGAATCATGCCCTGATATGACACCTGAACAACTTGCCAAAATTGCAAACGAATCTCCAGCAAAATAAATCAGTAAATAATGCAAATAGAACGGTATGAGGAATGAGAAGATAGAATGATTTTGAAGCTTTACTTAAACGGAGAAAGAAAGAACTGAATAATAAAGTCCTAACATGACCCACAATTCCTTGGACCACGTAATGATCTTTGGCTGACTTCGTTTCTTAAGTTTATATTTTATCGGTGAGTAAAACTTGCCAATAAATTCAGAGAATGATCCATGTAAATATGAAATGTCAAAACCAGAAGTTAGACAACTAATTAAACGACGACCATTATATTACAAAATGTTAAAATGGCACATTTCCTGGATATTACTGAATGTTCGACGTCAAAATATCATGGATCCACGCAGTACAGTACATGTCGTGATACAAATTTTTCCGTAACTTGTCAATTTTCCCAACTACAACAGTTAGAAAACGATTGCTATGTTTAATGCTTCCACCTCTTTTCTTTCTTCAGCAAGACTCATAAATTTAAGGGATTATTCAAATTCATGATTCTCGATAACTAAAAAGTATTGCTTCTATTTCTAATACGACTGCGACGCTGACTCAAGTTTAGTTGTTCACGCATATCTTGGAATGTATATCCTGCTAAGCTTTAGCAACATCTAATTAAATCTGACTCTCAGGTGAGATTGTAAAAGGCAATATATTTATGATTTTAATCGTAGAAAAATGCACTTCTCACCATAGTCTACAGGTGATGGCAAAAAGTTATGTGAGTAGGGAGAAAACAATGATGATGTGATTATATCATACTGAGAAACATCCTCATTAATCAGACGTTTCTAACCAAACAAATGAAATACATGGGAGCAAAAGGAACCTGATGCTAAATACATATAAAAGTAATAATAGCGCCAGTAAGCAATGCGTGTACATAATTAAGGGCAATGACAGCGAAATGAAACTCAATGATCCGTTGCACATGTAATGTTAGCATGAAGATAAGAGTGGAAAGTAAGGATGAGAGGAGATATTTCCGGTAAAAAGGTCGAAGTTCGTTCGTTTCCTTATCCTCCGAGGCATACGCACAATATCTGCAATCAGTCGAAGTTAGATTAAATGAAACATAGCAATTCAACAGTGGTTTTCTGAATTGTTTTCAGATGTTTCACTCCTTCACAACTGCCAGCTTTTTGTATACTACATCTCTTACCTTTCCTAAACGACTAATTTACCGCAAACAGTCACTCTTTCTGGAAAAGAATGTGATCAGTGATTTCCTTCAAGTGTTTAAGCATTTCCGAAGAATTCCATTGGTACTCCACTTCAGAAGATTTCTTAGATAAAAAGATCGAAGTCATAAATTAATCTGTACCTATTGGATGGAACGAAAAGTTAATGAATATCATAATCTTCCTTGTAATCTTACTCTTATCACTATCAAAAATATGCACAATTTACCTGACAGCATAGTAAACGAAAGCAGAATGGATGAGGTAAAGAAGTGCATGGCGATGAGGCGGCCAAAGTTCGTACATCTTTTTTAACTTCATACATTCTTTTCCATAGCACAGGAACTGAAATGTATTCTATTTCTAAGGAGACACAGTGAATTACTTTTTGTAAGCAAATAAAATCCAAAAAAGTTTTAAAAGAAAGGTTCCTGCTGAACTATTTTGACTTTAGTGTTTATTGCAAAAGTTCCTCTGATGTGCTCTTAAAATCATTCCAAAATATTCATATGAGATAGAAAATTTGTAAGAGAAGTGTATAACTTTTTCGAAACATCCAATATGTGAAGTATGGAAAACTACTGCAGATAGTGATAGATTGAGTACTGCCGCAAGAGACAATCGTAACGACAAGTTTAACCAAGACAAATATTTTTTGCAGTTATTCAGGAAACAATTTGAAGTGAAGAGAGCATGAGAACACATCATTGGATACCACATGCGGATATCGATTAGAAAGATTACCAAATTTTGTTTATTAGATCAATCTAGAAAGTAGAACATTGAGGTGAACGGACTACATTATATCTCATCTTCTAAGCATTGATAGCGAGTTGGAAACAAATTTATAAGCATAACGACCGGCAAAACACTTCTAGCTAGGTAAGTTCAAAGTCATGACATATCATTGTTTTGGTAGTAGACAATTAAAGCATCAATAATGACTTCCAAAAATCTATATTTGCTTTTTTCTTCCAGCAAAGTTTCTTTAGGAGGTAACAGAAAGAAGCGAACCATTACCATCACCAGTATCAAGAAGCATTATCCCGACCTGGAACGTGAAAATATCTACTCACGATTAACGACAGCAAAATTCCTTCAAAAATAAAATTCAGCTTTCTCAAAATATGTGCAGTTTGTAACGTTCGTCGGATATGTCCTCCTTGACCTAGTTGTGAAGACATTGACCGCAGTCGCTTTTGAGAATTGCAAAGCGAATGCAATTTCACAAGCTGAAAAAAGAATTTATCCATAAAAGAAATGAGATTTTAACAAATCTCAAATATGGGAAGCAGTCTTCGAACAGATATCTGACAATCAAAATTTAAAGGTGTGGACATAACGAACCAGCTGTCGAAACCAACGAACCAATCACTCTCAAAATCTACGCACTTTTATCCCACTACTATAAACTGGAATATACTGAACCGTTGCCTATTTCCGAAACTCAAACTGCAACAATATGACTAGGACGGACAACTCATCGAAGTTCACGCTAGTAAAATGACAAGAAATACTTTCCATATTTTTTACAAACAACCCATTCTTGGCATGACAATGCTAAGTAATTAGTCATTTTTAAAGTCTGAACAAATAATTTATCCATGAACAATTTATTCCTCTGTACGTTATCAAATATAACAAGTTACCGTAGAAAACAGATAAAATTAAGGATAAACTGGAGAACAGGATGTAAAAAAAGTTGCAAAACAGAAAAAACCGTCACTAGATTCGTTATAATACATTTTAGTTTATCCAGTGAAAACAACAATCATATTATATCAAGAACTTTCTTCAGCTGAACAACTAATTGCCAATCCGCCTTTGATAAATCATTTCGAAAATGTGCTTTGCAAACATCTATTGTTTCACGCGTTATCTAAATTAAGGAAATAAAATTTAATATGAATCTTATCTTTACTGTTTCTCGATTGCTGAACATCCTACTCCTTTATGCCATTCAATATAATGTCTTAAATCCTCAGATATAATTTAGCACCTTAAACTAACATATGTCAATCGACAACTGACAGCATCGACAAGTAAATTTAAAATCAGAAGTTTTTTTGTAAATTTCGAATAATGCAAGCCTGAAAGCATAAATACATACTAAAGCATTAACTTCCCTACGTTCTGAGATTTGCAGAAACTTACCCGACTGACTAATGTATCCTGATGCGTGAAATGCCTTCCATAAAGTTTTGGCGCTTCACCAGTTGTATTTTCTATTTTTATGCAAACTTCTTCCCCCGTACGAGCTATTTCCACTTGCTCATGATTTCGCTCAATACTTGATACGGTACCGATGAAGATAGACTGAAATTGAAACGAAACAAAAAATAAATGAGAAAATATGAATTTAATCCCTTCAGGACCACAAACTCGCTGAGAAGCAAAAAGTCTCAGAAATTTATTAGAACTTACGTCTTTAGAAGGAACACACAATGGAACACCTCGCTTGAGTTGACCAGCATCAACAGATACACCAATTACAATGGGATTACGGGCATTAAATATGTGTTGCGGAAGAATTCTCAATTTGCATGGAAAAACTGCCAAATGTTCGTTCTGCCGTCGGCGTTTAAGTTTCAGCTCTTCTCTGAAATTTAGAAACAATAGACATATCTCCCTTTCCCTTTTCAAAATCTATTCCTGATGCCTGCTCACATTCGTGATTAAAAACCTGATTCCATTATCCAGTGGATGCAGCTGCGGTAGCAATAGACGTAGACTGTATCATGTACCACAATGTCATGTTTTCAAATATATATATTTGTAAAAATAACTGGTGGAGCCATTAACAAGTATTAACTTCAATTTCTTTACAAAACTTGACAGATTCTTTTATGAAACACTTCTGATTTCAGGTTGATGTTATTTTTCCGGACACCCATCTGTACTTTTATTTCTGTTTTTATAGAATCGAAATTATATACCTGTATTTCAAGAAACTATCCTCCAAGTGATATATAATGTCAGCAGAAAAAATGCGAACACCCTCAGTAGCTGCAAACTGTTCTACCTCGCGGTCAACACGAACATCGAATGCAAGTATGCAGGCATACTCTTCCTTCCTTTCCAACATTGCTGCTGCTTTCTGCACATCTTTTTTATGTACTGGCCCAATATTGACGTTCGAATAAGGTATTTTTTGTGTCTAAAAATGAAATTTGTGCACAAATAAAAAAACTTGCACGAAGGAAAACTTGTCTCTGCAATGAATTTATAACAGAAGTTTCGGAAGAGTGAATCATACCCTCAGGAACTCCAACAAAGCTTCTAATGAGCCCAGTGTACTAGCCTGAACGTACACTCCCTCAGGTTTCTTCTTGATAGCCATAAGAGCCTTGGATAACTGTGCTTCACAATCCTCCCTGAAATAAAACATATTTGTGATAGAACATTTATATAAGCAATAAATTTCCAGGACAAAAAGGAAACTTCATTATTTTCAGGAATGAAAAGCATACTTGAGTACGAGAAGTTCATCTTCCCGGTTTGCAACAAATATTGGTAAGCCAGCAAGCGCTTTTTCCAAATTCTTTGCAAGTATTTTAATTCCTTGTGCACCTTTTATCATTTGATAATGCTCATATGCATTCTAAAAATATGTCAATATTCATATATTGTGTACACTAGCATGAAATACATTCTCCACTTGGCATAAACAAGCAATGCTTTCAGAAAAATCTTATCAACTGTAATCGTAGAAACACTAATTATACCTTAACTCTCAACTCTTTCAAAGGTTGCGGCATCAACAGCTCACGAATCTGAGTGATGATGGCCCCATCGGTACCCGTAAGAACGATAACATCACCGACCCTTAACGAGCCATTGACCAATATGACATCTATTGTAGTTCCTAATCCAGGAAGAGATTTGACCTAAAAGGAATAGAAATTTTCGATATCTCATTGGATTAACTACAAGTATATATTAGAAACAAGAAATAGAGAGAAATTACACTTCCTTACCTCCATGACCGTACAGTCAAGCTCTTCGCAATATGCTAACTTTTCAGCTAGCCTGTTCTGTGAATCACTAACAATATGTGCCATAATATTACCAATACCATCACCAAGAAATGCAGATGTCGGAACCATGCTAATATATTCGTTTAAATCTCGATTTTCGTTTGCCATAACAACGTTTACTCCCTTGAAAAAGAATGACACAACATATGTGAATTAGAATCACTTCATGATTCCTATGATTACTGTTAATTTGGCTACTTTATATGTTCCAGTTTCATCTACAAGTATTAATAGAAACTTCTTAATTCTTAAAGCATTTCCTCTTCTTTTTTCTTTTTCGAACCAAATGGCCATGCATAGTCAATCCCCGACTTTTTCTTTGTTTAATCTCTACTAAAAATTTCTTATTCTTTGATCGATATACCTGCTCAGCGAATTGTAACACAACTTTATCTTTAAGTTCTTTGAATTGTAGTTGAGTATTGAGCGGTTGTGACTTTAAATGTTGATAAATATCTTTTCGTGGATTTGATTCGTAATCGTACAAACGATCGATCTAAAGGTGATAATTAAAGCAACTATAAGAGAACATAGTAATATAGAAGTGTAAGAAATCAAGTAAAATTACTTTGTTCAGTGCTATCACAAAAGGAGTTTGTCTTTTTCTCAATAAATTAAACGACTCGAGTGTCTGTTGTTCAAGCCCATGCATTAAATCAACAACCAAAATTGCATAATCACATAATGAAGAACCACGAGATCGTAAGTTTCTGCAAAACTAAGCTTGGCATTCAAAATAAGTTAAGATGCTAATGGATTTTATAGAAAAATAAAATTGTTATATACTTATTTTTTGATGCAACATTTTTATGGTCTCGTTCACTACATCATTCCCATAACAGATGAATTGATGAATTATGTAAATTTGTTTTGGGCTGTTTTTTACCCTCTATTCCACATTTCTCATACAACAATCATTTGAATCTATTATGAGCTAGTTATAGCAATTATATTGAGAATCCTTCGAAGCAAGTAAAATTTAAAAAAAGTAATATTAGGTGGTTGCAACACTTACCCTTCAGTGGATAAATATTCTCAGTTTTACATGGAAGTTATCTCACGTTGAACTACTTCAGATTGTATATTAACTACTTCAGATTTTATACTTTGATAATTTTCATTCGATGAACTATTGTCAGTAAAGCAACGAAATGAAGTGTCAAGTTTGAATTTTGTATGGCATATCATTATTATCATAACATTCCCAAAAATGTATGAAAACTTTTAAAGATCAAAGGACTTACGAGAAACTTTCATGACCAGGAGTGTCAATTATCAAGAGTCCAGGGATTTTCATTTCATGACCGATGAACTAAAAAAAGACCGTGAAAGAATGTAGGCAAATCGCAAAACGACAAAAAAAATTAAAGTAAAAATAACGAAAATGAGTTGATTACTCACATCTCGAACCATTTTAGTACGTTCAATAATTGCAGCAGCCGGCACTTGTGTAGCACCGATTTGTTGCGTTATTCCACCAGCTTCTCCATCTTGTACATTTGTGCGTCGTATCTATTAAAATAAGGATATCTACTGAATTCGTTAAAAGAACAATCGGAACATAATCCCATAACAAAGACGAAAGAATTGAAGTACCGTATCCAACATTTTTGTTTTTCCTGTATCGACATGTCCAAGCACACAGATAACTGGTGATCGCAAATTATTCGTTGAGCGTTTAGCTTCAGCTTGCTCACGCCGCTTCTGAAACGAGATTTTTAAAAAATGTAACATTTATAGTGTCGAGTTAAAGGGTGAAAGTACAACCTTCAAACGTGCTCGAACTTTCTCTTTCAATTGCTCTTTGCTTTCCCGACTTTCTTGCTCATCATCACTGGTTTCTTCCTCGTCTTCTTCATCGGATTCTTCCGAGGAATCGGAGCGTTCCGTTTCTTCAACGAATTGTTTTGACTCAACCTTCACCGAAACTATCTAAAAAAGTACGATAAGCGACCTGAATATTCTGTTATTATCCAATTAAAATAAAATATCCGGACTTAAAAAAATTACACACCCCATCTTTTGCAGGAGTAGCCGCTCGCAGAACCTGTTCTATAACACATGATGTCACTTCTTCTTGTTCCTCCCCATGTATATTTTCCCAGTCGTCAATAACCTCATCTATCGTATCCCACGAACTAATTATCTCTTCATCTTGCGGTTTCACCACCTCACGATATTCTGAGGATTTTACCTCTGCAACTGGTAAAGACTGAACACTTGTTAGAGTGACTTCTAGAACAGAAGATGTAAAATTAATTCAGCAAGCTTGGCAAGCAATCGTTTAACCAAAATATGGACTTGCAACCGTTTTAATTTTTTTTTTTTTTTTTTTTTTTTTTTTTTTACAAACCCTTCAACCGTTTAATCAAAATATGAGTTAGTAAACTGTTGCAAAAGAAAAACCTTCGTCGTCTTGTTTCAGCTCTTTTTTTTGCTTCCTCTTCCCATATACAGGACGTTTCACTGGTGCCTCATCATTTTCTCGTCTCAGCACACTTGGGAGTATGATATCTAGGTAAAAACGTGATTGAATAATAATCGGCTATTCACAGAGGCACATTACTTGACTCGATCAATTAGAAAGCCATACTTGAATTAGCTAATAATGCTTGTTGTCTCCTCAGCTTCTCCTTTTGTGCTGGTGTCAGATATTTTCCCTCCGCCTTCAGCTTTTCATCACGTTCTTTTTTCTTCTGTTTCTCACGTTGCTTCTTTTCCCTGGCCAGTCGTTCCTAAACAAAAATAGCTACGTTAAGATTTGATTAATCTTCACCAACTGCAAACACGGAATATCAATTAGCAAAAAGAAAAACTCACTTCTTCTTCCCTCGCTTTCTGTTGTGCAATCAATCTCTCCTCTTCTTCCTTCTGCTGCTTTAGTACTCTCTCTTCTTCCTCTTGTCTTCTACGTAATATTTCTTTAATAAAATTGACCTAAAACCTTGTTACTTTATTTGGGATAAAAAGCCAAGGTGGTCTATAACTAGGACAATATTGTATGGTAAAAACTGCTCCATAATAGCAAAATAAAAAAAAAATCAAAACTCCAACTTTCATTACGCAATTATTGTGGAAGCATTAACAATCAAACATACATGTTTTTCTTATTTGTTTCCTTCCTGTCCCCATCCTTTCCTGCATCGCCTTTCTTCTTCTTTTTTTCTGTCGCATTACTTATCTCAAAAAAATCTGTTCAGGAAAATTTCGAGTTCAATTTTAAAAGAAAATATTAGTTACAACTGTTCACAAAAGTAGCAAGCCATTCAAACTAATGAGGATGCTTTAAATGAGCGAATATAGTCACTTACTCTTTGATTTTCAAGTGGAACAGCATCGTCTCCAACAGATGAATCGAACTCTGCTGGTTTTACTTTTTCTGTTGTACCTTTTTTCTTTTTTTTTTATCTTTTTTCTTGGCCATGACATCTCCGCCATCATCTGCTACAATGGCTATTTCTTCAGCCTTGTCAGCATCAACTGAAATTTACAATGTGTATGATTCGAAAGTTAACATGGTACAAAGTACTGAAGCTATGGCAACTTGAAAAGTCAACCTAAAATAAAATTCTTCTGATTTGAATTGAATAAACAGTTTGCCTGTAATATTTTCAGTAGTTGAAGATATTTTTAAATCTTTATGAGTTTGCACTTCTGTTATATAAAGGACGCCAGAAGTTGCTCCTTTTTTTTTCCCTTCTTTTGACACTTTTTCTATTGGTTTCTCGAGATCCGCAAGTAAAGCATCCAAATCCTCATCTTCTTTCAAACCCTAAAATATAAGACTTGTAATGCACGATGGAATATTAACAAAACTCTGCTGCGTATATCAATTTGACAAAAATCACCTTGTTGCTTTTTTTTTCCTTCCTTTTTCTCTCTTCCTTTAATTTTGTTGTTTGTTGCTTAGACAATCCTTTTGCCTCATTAGGTTTATTCGTCTCGTTCATCGTCCTTTTTTCTTGCTTGTTTTTGCCAACTTCCTCTGTCTTGTCAGAATTTTCACTAATGCTTCCTTCCTTCTCTGCGTCATCATCATCAGAATTATACTGAAATATGAATCGGTTACTGCATATGAGTTAAAAAGCACGTCACAAATATATATATCAAAATAATTGATAGTCAAAATGACCCGCACTTTAGACTTCAGATGGGCAACAATTGCTTCCACAAGATAAGTGGAACAGAAAAATCGTGCACAATAAGAAAAAGATGCGAGAAATGAAGAATCTCTGAGTGCAGTTGAAGAGAAATATTTGATCGAATAAATGACCAAAATAGACATACTCCAGCAAGCATAATGAATGCTCCGCTTTTCCCTTTCCCATAGGTGGGTACCATTGATTCTTCACTAATTCTTTTACTGTCGTCATCAGTCTCGGAGCCGGACGATAGTTTCAGTTCCGCTGCTTTGACATCCAGATCTTCCGACCTATGCTTTGCATACAAAATAATGAAGTGTAGTGATGAAACTAGTTAGCAAATTTTCGACAATAATGTAACCCAGATAAGGTGACATTTTAACTTACCTCAACCCGGTAACATTGTTTCGAACAGTAGCGAAGCAGAAAGAAAAGGAAGAAAAGAAAGAAAAGGAAGCATGACTTTACAATTTTTCCAACCACTGATAGTATAACATCATTTACTTCAACCATTAAAATATTATACTGATAGACCAAAATTAAAGAGGAATTTTTTTAATTTTCGCTTTTAATTTTTATCTGCCAACTGTATTACTTTGGTGATTAAGGTAAATGATAACAATGTTTTCACGTCCTTACCATTCATTCTTCTTATTGCCCTTTTTCTTCTTCTTTGTTGCCATTATCAAACGAAATCATTTGTTTTGCAAAATGAACTCTACCAACTGATATGAAATCGGACCGATAATCAGCTGAAACTGACCCCACTCTTATTCAAGGACAACCCTCTCAAACCATGCAACAAAACGACGCCAACGAACAACCTCCCGCCCACCACTTATAATGACAAGATGCGGTTTGCTTCGACGACAAGGGTCACTATGAGATGAAAGATCCCATTGCGTCTGGATTTAAGTTCATGCTGGATGTTTGCAGTGAGCATGGTTTTTCGAAAGATATGTTCTTGGTTTTTCATTTCTGTTATTGTGGGACTATCTTAATCGTTATTATCGGTACAAGAGGAGTGGGCATTCTCACAGCTTACTGAAATAGGTACCTGAAAAGCTGAAAACACATTGCCACTCATCAAAAGTAGTTGTTTCAATCAGCACCAAAAGGGAGTCATTAGAAAAAAAGTCGATCTTGTTCTAGTTTCCCTTAGCAGGTCTGAAGACTCATTGCAGTCCTTTGATGGATCATGCGGTAACTGAAGAGAGTGCAACGACTCAATGGTCGAGCATGCAAGTAAGTTATTACCTACCTGACAAATCCGAAAACCCCTTGGCATGGCAGATGGAAATGTTTCAGTGAGGGCAACTGATCCTAAAATGTGAGCTGAAACATAGAGATTCCCCTCCCTTGTGTTAGATGGCTGAGCAACTAAATTTATTTAGTATTACATTCTGTTTTTCGGGTCTCATCTCAGCCTGCACTATTTTAGGTCATGTTAAGGGTTAGAATTGTTGTTTACAAAGAGAACTATGCTGCTTTCTTGCTGTTGAGTAGAAAGATTTTGGAATTAAGCCTTCAGCTAAATTTCGTTTCCTCTCACAAATCTTCAGATCGGTGTGAAGAGATTTTGCAGAATTTTTCAACATAAACTTATTATTGCTGTTGTCAAGAAAGGTGAGGTATAGATACGGAAGAAAGTTGTTCTAATAAGATAAAGCAGGTGTAGCTCATTTGGAAGTATCGAATTATTTTCTTGCGAAATTCTCCAAGTAGATTACCTAGCCAAAATTATCGAGCTTGAAGGCTGTTTCAAAATGCATACGACATCGTGAAGACTTGAATTTGAGACTTTAAAATCCGCAAAACATTCTGGAAAAACTTTCTAAATAAACTGGCCTTGGAAAAAAAGATTTAGAGAAATTTAAATCAGGAGAACGGTCGATCCTTCGCTTCCCTGGAATTGCATAATGTCACTTCATCATGGCTTACTAGTTTGCTTGTTCAATATGGCCAACTTATTGCGTAAGAAATTAAAAATATTGCAGTGACACCCCCACTCTAACAAAAGGAACATTCGAACGAAAATCTGTTCCTAGTTCACAACTTTCCTTTGGGGTGCATTCTGAAGGACAGTGAATTTCTGATTCACCAATTTTTCTGAAAGTATAAGCAAACTTTTCTGTTTCATATCTGCAAATGCGTGAATTCTATCCCATAATATGTATTCCATTTCTATTCAGCCAAATAGTGGACTTAATATTTTCCGATAGTGTCGTGAGGCACTTGAAAAAGGATGGCTCCTAATATATGGCTTTCTAGATGGTAGCTTTTGCGGGGATAAAAGAACTGGGACCGCGAAAACAGTTTGCCTTATCCTTGCTCTTATTGCTATGTTTCTAGGGGCTTTGAGACATTACAGGTAAAAATGAATACAGAGTTAGTATTTGGACTAAGGGGAACTTATTCTGAGATGATTTGAAATTTTCAAGTTTTATTTTGAGACTATTTTTTTAAAAAAGTTCCATGATTCAATCATCCCAATTTCAGAAGCTTTTAATCTTAATTATAACAATCTTTCATTTTCCTACGCTCAACATTGACTTGTTCAGATAAAAGTGTCGCAATCTAATTTGAGCAGACAAGTAGCGATTATTTTTTCCTTTTTGGCTCTTTTTCTTTTTTTTTTTGACTTTTTTTCTTCTTTTTTGGCAGCTTCTACAGAGGAAATGATCCAAATGGGAGTTTTTAAATTTTATTTTTAACATTTTGATTTAATCACCCCAATTTCAAAAGCTTTTGATCTTAATTATAACAATCTTCCATTTTTTTACGCTCTTGTCTTTGATTAGTCCCAAACTTGAAGTTCGATCGACTGTTTTGATTTTTTTTGAAATAAATAGTAAAACTTAAAACCTTTATAGAAATTTGATTAAACATTACAGAACGATAGAACTAATGAAGGTACTGAATTAGAGTATCTCTTTGAAATATTTTGAATTAAGAATTCCAGGGAGAAAATAATGTTTCAATAAATTCAACTCATATCAGTTCATTCGGAGGATTAAAAAATATAATCAAACTATGACCTGTTTTTATTTCAACAATTAACTTCTGCTATTTAACTTCCAAGCCAAATGATTTCCGGAGGATTCAAAAGAAAGAAATGACAACAGAAGTTCGTCCATTCTTCATTCTAGCGATATGCTACAAAATGCATCGTTTTCCTGAAATTTTATTAATGTACCATATCCGACGACAGTTACGAAAAGCTATGCATGATTACTGGATGTTAATAACGAAAGATGGAGAAGTAAAACGTTGTGTGGGAGGGGTTGCACAGAAACTAAAACTGCATCCTACCGAACAGAATAATTATCAGCAAAATTTGTTTGGAAGTAGAAAAGAAGTATTAGTCTTATGTTACGGTGTAGGCCATGAATGACAACGAAAGTGAACACTTCTGGTGCAGAAATAAGTTGTCACATTTCGATATGAGCATTGTTTATTGCGGCTGTGCTATTATAGAGCATTATATGAGGTCACGGATTTGGTTGTCATATTTTATAAAACCACCAAAGATAGGCAAAGTTGATCCATCCTTTCCATTGTTTCACATATAGCAGTACTTTTGCTTATAATAAATAAAACACATAAACACTATTAATTAATACACTAGACTACTAATTAGGGCATCCATAACTTATACATAGCAGAAGGTAATCTATGCAAGTTCTCGAACAGTCACTCTGATCCCAAAGGTAAATAAGACGACTGCACTATGTAAAAAGACCACTTGTCCGATCTACACTTCTGCGTTGAACCATAGTTAGCGCAGATGCCCTAATAAGACAGAGAAACAAACAGCATTTACTATCATAAAGCATTAGGTAAAAACACTCTACCTGAGTAAGAGAAAGCTAAAAAGTGGGAAATATTGAAGAAACTCAACGTAGAGCATTTGGAAGATGTGGAGGAAAGCCATGAAGAAGTTCGGTAACTTCCGCAATGACACCTGAGACTTTGCTCACCTTCCTAAAATCAGAGGTTGAGACCGAGTATCAGGTGGGATTGCGAAAACCTTATAGCTGGCCGAAACTTACAAAAGATCAAAACATTTCGATAGGTACATGCTGTTAATTACTTTCTTATATGAATTATGAAAATAACTGCAATATTGACCAAACGTATGTAAACGTGGCACAAATAGTCCGAGCAAGGATCGAATGTTTTTATAAGATATATTGTAAAGAAGTGAAATCAAAAAAGTTCATTGAAAATGTGCAGCATTATTGTGAAGGATGGTGCAGGAGTTTGACATAAGTAAGGTAAGCAAGAATCGTATGTCCATAGAGGGAATCACTTACAAACTACAACTCTTACTATGAATTCATGGGTCAATATTTCACTGGAAAATTTTATATAAGTGATAGAATAATTATAAAAATAACAAGGTAACTGGAAGGATATGTATAAGTTGGCTAATTGTTCTTACCTACTCTGTTTGAAAATGCATTATAACAATTCGTAAAATGAAAGATTTATTTTACATGAAGCTGATTACAAGGTTTGGTTTTTAAGAAAAACTTCAAACCATGAATAAAGTAGAATAAAAGGGAACAATTTGAAATTAGAGACTGCTTTTCATGCTATCGATGCAGTACTAAAACCATACGTAATAAAGATGAATTCTCGCTTGAAATAATTCATCTGTACTTTGAATCAAATAAAAATCATTAATTCATTCCCTAATCGAGTTCCCTCTCTGGTAAATCTCAGTTTCTCCACCTAAAGAAAGCGAAAGCAAATTTGCGATCAGTCCAGTTTAGAAAAATTTAAAATTCTCGAGGCGACCGAAGATAATGGTCAGAAAGAAGTAGAGTGTGGGAAGGGTTCAACAATGTTCCTAAATGTACCCGTCGGCAAATACAAAATGAATGATGTGAGAACGACAAGGCATTGACATGGCGCAAATAACTTTGATGGTATTTTGAAGTGACAGTTAAAAATTGCAAGGGAAAGAGAAGGAACGAAAAAGGAAGGGAAGAGAGGTGAGATCATGCATGTACTTCACAATTTGATTGCTAAAAACAAAGACGACACCTCAATTTTAAAACTTGTAAATGAAGCAAGTCTCTTTTTGTCATCCCTTTTTCCATTTTGTTTTGTTCTCCAATCAAACATTACAACGTGTTGGGGTTAGGTAGGCGCTGTTGTAATGAATAAACTGAGATGAGCCTAAGGAAAAAAAGCTTGAAAGCCAACCCACCGAACAGTTAAACGGGAAAATGAAAAGACAAACAGAGAGAGAGAGAGAGAAGCAAGCTCTGTTATACAAAAACGATTTTGTTTATAGGAAGATACGACACGACGAAATGATGGGCATATATGGAGACAGGAGTAGCTGAAGACATTCTGACGCTACTATCACTCTAGTCATTATAGATTTGTTTCAATAATTCACTTGATGAGACTTCGTTTCTGAACGAAAGGGAAAGAGGGAGCTTTCTCAAAGCTTCGCTTCGTCATAATATGAATATTGGAATCTGACTAGAGATCCAACAAACTGATAACAACCATTCATAATTCGAATACGATGCATAAGTTGCCATCACTTTTCCGCCCTATCATTCTAGTCAGATGCTTTGACACAGCTGCCGTCTCACTGACTGTACTATTTGCCAAAAACTAGTTCAATCATTCGGCATTCGGGTTTTTGGATAATAACAAAAAACCGAATAAGACATACATTATTACCATGAAATGATACATACCATCGTAGTGTTTTGGATGCAGCCATGAATACCGTATAAGACATAAATCTATCAACTAAACTACTTCTCGAGTGACATAGATCATTTCATCTATCATTCCTCTCCTCTGTACATCTCTCTTTAAAATGTTTTTTTTTTTGAAATGCAAGATGAAACAGTTCTTATATTTTACGGGGAAAAAACTGAACATTTTCACCGTTCTATTCCCTTCTTTACCACGTCCAGATAGAAAAAGTCTAACCAGTACCCTCATCTGATTTCGATCCTGTCACATGTCTGAGAAATACCGGCATTCAATCTCAGGCTTTTTCATCTCCAACTGTTCGAATACTGGAAGATCCTTATAAGTATCTCATCCACATTTCCAAGTTTGATCATTTGTCCAATCTAATCCAAATAGAAGCAATCATCCTCATGAATTAATAAATTCAAATATATCGTCAGTTTCAATTATTCTCATAAATTTGTTTCAAAGCAATCACTAACGTGTAATTTAATATGATCCCATCAATCTAACTTATAACATAGACCGCAGATGACAGTTGTCGAATGGCGTTTTCTGCCTACTGATGAAAGGAGTTCAGAATAAAGAAGGCGCAACAGATATGACCATAAGATCACTGCTCAACAAAGAGAAACTAATTAAAATGGCAGTAAAAGTGGCGCCAAGAGGACCAAACAAAAGGACCGATCGGAGAAAAGGAAGACACTTCATCTTGTGTTCACGAACGGGTGACCCTTCCCAGTGCTAAAACATCCCAGCAAAAGAGACAACCTATTTTAACATTGAAGAGGCATTTCGTCACCGAAAGTGGACGAATAATGAGTTCCACATAGGGCCCGAAAGAAGACACCTTTCTTGCTTCTCACTCATCGCTGACCCTTAACGTTGACATTTTCTTTGTAGTCTTCCGGATGTCATTATAATTCTCACAATACCTCACCTTTATTCATTATTGATAATATGCACACAAACTGGTAAGATGAGGTCCTGGCAGGAGAAGTAAAGAACTCGCAGCTTGCCGCATCCATAATAAGCTTGCTAATTCAAACTAAGATTCATTCACTAGTCAGTGTTACTGCTTATTTGAAAGCTCTAATAACCAGCTCTAAAACGGAGACCTGAAACTAGCTTTTCCACCTGATCGGAAATGTAACACATTAGATGCCCTCTCGTTCCACGACAAACTTTGCAATTACTACCGCAAAAGTGAGATATAACAAACAAATAACTAAAAAATATTATTGTACTGAATGAAGTTATGCAACTCCGTGAAGCGTTAAAGGCAACACAGTACAACAGTGAACAACGATGTCATCAATTGTGCAACAGCGCAATATGGTAAACGATGTCCCTATTGTGGATAGGATGTGGTGAGTAGTGTGGAAGAAAACAACAATCCTCCATCGCCCAAATGATGAATAAGCAAGTAGAATCGAGAATGGATGTTGAATACGATGATGACAATGACGACGACGGTAATGGCGGCACGATGACAACAGATGATGATGGTTCACTGCGCCATCACGGTTACACCTTCCCTTCTTCCCCTTCCGTCATTTAGCTCCACGAACTCCGCAAATATATATATATATATATATATATAAAAATCTGAATACACAAATGCATGTAAATATGCTGACTTTGAAATGTTGAAAAGAAGGAAGAGAGTATAGAAAATAGAAATAAAAAAAAAAATAGAAGTGGCTAGAAGAAAGAAAGTTCCAATTGAGGCTTCATTATAATTTTGATCATTGTCCATAGACATTAAATGACAGGAGTATGAGAGAAGATTTGATGCTATTTAGTAACATATAGCAGCAGCTTATTCCTGTTGTTAGTAATCGGAGACGAGGTATGACACACATTCTGCAAAACAAAGCATTTTTTATGTTCCCACACCAATACACACAAAAACGGATATTTGTTGGATAAGATATACCCTCGATTCACATAATTAATGGCTTCTGTCATGGAAAAAGTTTAATGTACAGATTTGAAGTAAGAAAAAGGATCGGATTATTAGATGCACAGAAATACCGCTGAGAGGAATCTCTAATCCTAAATCCTGAAAGGTTTTTTAAGATGAAAAGTGGAGAACGAAAATGATTCGCACTTCTATCTCGGCGCATGTACGCATGATGTGTGTGTGTGTGTATGTGTGTGTGTGTGTGTGTGTGTGTGTGTGTGTGTGTGTGTGTGTG